GGTCAGGCGCTGCTGACAGGGGAGCGGGGCGGCTGGGGCAGCGCCACTGTCACCCCTGTCACCTCTGTCACCCTGTGTGCTGCCGCTGCTCAGACGGAACCACAGGATCCCAGACTGGTTGGGGTTGGGAGGGACCTCAAAGCCCATCCAGTTCCATCCCCCCTGCCAGCAGCAGGGACACCTTCCACTAGACCAGGTTGCTCAAAGCCTCATCCAACCTGGCCTTCAACACTTCCAGGTAGATGTGCCCTACCTCCAGCCCACGACCTCTTCCAGTACTTAAATCTTAGCAAAAACTGCCTCTTTTAGGCAATTTACTTTCGCACCCACAGTTCTTACATTAAGATTATATTTCATGGTGCTGTCGGGGGTTTTATTTTGCTCCTCAGGACTGTTGTCACGCACACCAGATGTGTTAAAACTCCTGCACACAGTCCGGTCACATCAATTGAAACTAAAATCACCTGGGTGGTTAAAAGCGCGTTCGCTTGAGGGAGCCTGAAATGTGCAGGGAGATGAGGAGAATTCACGTTTCTGGGCTGTGTGAAGGGGTCTCAAGAAACAAGTGCCTAGAAAATTCTTTTTATGACAGTAGCTGATTTTAAAGAAATGTTGGAACGCTCAAAAAGTTGCCTAAATGCTTCAGCCCGACCTAGCAGTGAAGCTGTCCAGTAGCAGAGGAGCCCTGGCATCGCTCTGCAAACTGCTTGGGAGTGTACATACTGCTGCTTTCATTGGACCTTGTAGTCAAGGTGGTTTTTTTTAAATAGTGCTTTTTTTGAGTGTTTGTTACCTCATGACCCACCCTTAAGTATCTGCCAAACTCCTGAGTCGGTTTTGTATCTTCAACTTTAAAACCTTTACTCGGAGTCGACCCGGTTTGCCGCCTTCGTGTCAGTTTTTACCGTTCAGTGTCGGACAGTTGTCGGTGCTGCCACGTTTTTGTAAACGCCTCTGAAGTCGAAGGCCACAAACTCTACCTCTGGGCAAGGGTTTTTTTTCCTGTTTCCCTCAGTGGTGGAAACGCTCGGCGATGTGAGTCAAGCCAGGAAGTACCAGCAGCTAGTTGAGACATCCCAATGGCTTCCCCCGGCAGGAATTTGGCAGCTGTTTAATCCCTGAGGTTGCCATTTTGAATGAGAAACCCAGTGTGATGTTTTGTTATCAAGAGAGGAGAACCCGCAGCCTGAGAACCCGACCCAAGGACATTTCCTCACCTCGGGAATTCCTTTGGCTTCCTGCAAGGGAAACTTTGTGGGAGCTGTTGCCCTTTGCTTGTCGTTGCTTCAGCTGGGTCTGCTTGCAGTTTAAATTAGGTTTGGAATTCCAATTGAGCTTTGATGGATGTGCACGTTCACTTCAAGTATTTCCGGTGGGTTTTTTAATGTTAAAAGCGTGTTTCTGTTCTGAAATAAGGAGTTTGAATTTGGAGGATCTGTCGGTTGTTTCTCACAGTTGTCAGAAGAAGAAATAGATGTGGAGGCTGCTGATTTAGTCTTCTTACCCTAACTGGGGCTGCACTTTGGTGTCTGGGTTTGTATTTAGTGCTCTTCTGATCTTAACACTCACGTTTTCTTCATCTATCTGCTTGTCCAAGTCCTTTTTTTTTTACTTTAGATGTTAAAGATGTTGAGGGGAGAATCATTGAGTGCAAGGATAAGCTAAAGGGTTTGTTAGACCCTCAGAACGAGGATTTCTCTGGTACCATTTCCAGTTTTCTTTGGGAAAGTGATGGCTGTTACTCTTACACCGTCCAAGTGATGGAAGGCTTGGTGCTAGAAAACCCCATCCGGAATCGCGCGGCCGGCGCTGAGCTTCAAAACTGACCAGGATATTTTTTAACTGGCCGTGTTAGTACACCTTGAGGTGTGTCTGTGTAACCGAGTCATCCACTGATCTAAAACTCTGATGTCTTCTTAAATGGAAAATGTGTTTTCAAAAGGTCTTTAAAAACAGGTCTTTTGTCCCAGACCAAACTTGGGCAAGAGCGAAGAGCATCCACACGGCCGACGAGCGCTTCCTGCCGCTGTTTTCGGTTGAGACTGTAGGAATGTGCTAAGTGTTGGGTTGGTTTATGTTGGTTTGTTTTGTTTAGGGGTTTTTTTGTTTGTTCTTTTACTGTAATCATGTTACTGGGCTCTTTGGAAGGTTTCCAGCTTTTAGAGCATCTAAGAGGTCTTGTATTGTGAAGAAGGAAATATTTAGGCTCAGGCTTTGCAAGGACTTGGAGATAAGCTCATGGCTCATGATGATCAGACTTTGTCACCTTTTGACTACCTTTTCCAATAAACTTTGAGGTTTTTAGGCATCAGTTCCACGAGGAAACAAGGTGACTTATTTTTCCTGGTGCTGTCTGACAGAAGAGCTGTAGCTTGGATTGAATTTTTTGAAAAGTCTTATTAATTGTCATCTTCATGTTTTAAAGTTGGTGGTGAGGAACACCTGGCTTTATCATGACAATAAAAATCTTGATCTGTCCCCATACCTGTGAGCTCTCCAGTTCTGGGTGCGATTTCCCACAAGCTTGTTCTGCCATCTTCAACCACTCAGTCAAGGAAATAAAAGCCACTTTGCTCTTGATTCAAACCGTTCCTCAGACTGTGAAACTAATACCGCAGAGAAGTTCAGCTGGTGCGATGGGAGCCTGGAAGCAGCACATGCAGCTCTGAAACCAGCGCGGGGGCTGTTCTGGCCGTGCCACTTAATTGCAGAACAAGAAACTTCACTGACTTCTCCTGGCACCACGCTGTGGTGTCCAGCCTCAGTGTAGTAATGGTGGAAACTCTCCTGATCACGTTGGAGATTGCTTTTGGATTCATGTAGGTACAGACTTGAGCTGGTTTGTGTTTCTTGTGAGAGGAGAAACCCACGTTCTTCCCATTCTGTGCTCACCAATGCAGCTTGACTAACCCTGGTCAGCCAGCCTGGAGTTGCTCCTTCCACATCAGGAAGGAAACATCAAAGCTGAGAGGACGTAACTCTGGAGAGATGGCACAAGGCTTGAGTCGTGTTACAAAGATCTCCCACACAGAGCACTGCCAGGAGTGACGGACTGGTCACTGTTGGGTGTTTTTTCTTCTTCAAACATCTCCATTGGTGGGATATAGAGGACAGAAGGGTGTGCAGGAGGGAGGAAGAAGTTGCTGAAGTCCAGGAAGGATGTTTTCACCTGCAACTTCGTGGACTCCAGCCTTGTGTAGGCTACCTGACAATCTGCTTCCAACAGTGGGCTGGTAGGGGACTAGTTGAGAGTAGGTTAAGGAGCACGGCTGATGCTGAAAGCTGGTTGTCTTGACAGTTCCCTGTTTTCTGCCCACCCCAAACAATTGATTTTTTTTAAACTGGATTAATTTCCTGTGCTTTTCATACATGAAATGCAACTTGCTATTGTCTTGCAGGAATGACACCAAGGAAGATGTGTTTGTCCATCAGGTAAGATTTCCTTGAAGCTGAGACATCTTACTGCTGTGAAACTTGCCGTGCATGACCTGTGTAAGTAGGATTGTGGTTGTGAAAGAGCCTCGTGTTTCCCAACAAGTGTTCCTTGAACACAAACCGCCGATTCTCGCTGCTGGATCACGAGCAGAGCCTGCTCCTGGGTGGGGGTTTGCACATCCACACACATCCCTGACGAGGACACGAGATACGTGGGGCTGAGGGGGCTGGTTCTGTCCGGTGATGACGATGGCACTGTCTGTGAGTGCTCTGACTGGAGGGGGACTGTTTGGAGCCCAGTTAAGTTGCCTTGTGGATTTACCTCGTTGTTAGTAAGAATATGGAAATAAAGTTAAATGAAAAGTTTGCAGCTGGGAGAGAAACTAATTGGGCTGTAATTGGGATGAAGTGCCAGTGAAGGGGGTTTGGTTTTTTAGGCAAAACTTTAATGGAATTTATGACTCCAGGCTTTCAATCAAAGCCTGAAAACATTTCAATCAATACTTTTTCAATTAAACAGATACATTTAAATACTGTCTCTGGGGAGCACATAAACCTCTGGAAACTAGGTGTTTTATTTCATGGAGCAGGCTGCCTGAGGGTGTCTTCCTTGGTGTCTGACTCATACTGAGTGATCAGCTCTGGTTCTTACCCTCTTTGTCGTAGGATCTCTTGTCCTGAAGCAGCCCACAGAGAGCTCTTGGTGGAGCCTGGTTTACTTCTGGCATTTAGGAGTCCCCGGATTGTTCTTTTGTTTGGAGTTAGGGCTGTAATGCTGATGGTGTAAAAAAACAACAAAAAAAGGAGGAAAAAGTGTTTTGCCTTTGAGTTTGATCTGTCAGCTCTCAGCTTCTCGCTTGTGCTGTGTCTGAAAACACTGAGGCATTTATTTATCACAGGTTATTCTGCAGTGGGCAGTGGAGAAAGGCCAAGCGACCCCGTTGTGTTTTTGTGTCCTGAGACAGGAATATCTACCCTGAAGGAAACCTTTCAGACTTTATTACTCAGTTTGTGAGTAGGGTAACCTATGAGTGACTTTGACTTACTGTCAGATTTCAGGACTTGTCATGGAACTGCTGTCTGTGTTTCTAAAAGCACAGTTTGGCAGGGGCTTGTTTTAATGTAATAACTTCCACGCTAAACTGGTTTTAGGGGTCTAATGTGAAAGAAATCAGCTTATTTGAGGAGTTGTAGCTGTGTCCTGTGTCTGCTTTTACCTGTCCCTGTTATCAAGCTTGGGTCTCATGAAGAGCTGTTACACTTGGCTCTGGTTATGTAGTAAGGTCTTTACTGCTTCATAGGCTGAGACTTGGGGACGTGTTTTCCCACAGATTTTGTTACATTTAGGGAAAAACTGGAGTCAAATTCTGTCGCTGGTATTTGTGGTAAAGTTGTTACACTCGTATTACTGTTCAGTTAAAGTGTTTGATAAGCAGAATGTGGCTGAGTGGTGCATATTGAGAATTAACTCATCTGTCAAAAAATTTAATCCACTGTTGAATAGCCCAGAAAATTCCCTGTTTTCTGGTAACGCCATTGGCCGTGCAGACACCGCTCCAGAGGCCGGTCTGGTGCTGACGCCTCGGGAGGGCTAATCCCTGGTGTATAATACATGGCTGGAGTGGATTTGTGGCTGGTAAGCAATGGTGTTGGAAGCCTCAGAGAAAGAAATCTCTTAATTTCTGGCCACCCAGGTGTTGAGCTGACTTGGGACAGCTTCCTCGTGGGCTCCTGCATGCTGTGGGGGTGTGGGAGATGGGAGAGGGCTGGAAATCAAGGAGTGTGATTGGAAAGGCTGGTGTATTGGTGTATGTACCTCAGAGGAACGTATAGATACTCTGGGGGTGTTTAATGGCAGACTCTGGTTAGGAATGCTGTGACCAGTGGGTATTGTGGGAGTTTTTGTTTGTTTGTTTGTTTTCACACCGCTTTTACAGCCAGCAGACAGCATGTTGACAGATGTTTCTAGTCAGCTGTTACACATTTCAGATACACAATTACAAAACTCAGGTAAATTTTACAGCTTCCTGGATTTTCACAGCATTTTAATTGCTTTTTCAGGAGCACAAGTCTTCCTTCTCAGATATTAAATAATCAAATTCTTTCATCTTTTTCTTAAAAAAAAAAAAAAAAAAGTCTTCAGATATGCTGAATAGTATTTTCACGTGGTGCCTGTAAATGTAACTCTGCAATATTCTGTTGTTAGACTGCCATAAAGAAGAATAACCCCAGGAAGTACCTCCGCAGCGTAGGAGATGGAGAGACCGTGGAGTTTGATGTGGTTGAGGGAGAAAAGGTAAAACGCGTCTCTGGGGCGTTAGAGCGCGCGGGGAAAACTGGCTCTGCAGCCTTTGGTGTGGTGCCTGCGGTTTGAGTCAATGCCTGATGACATCCAGGGAGACAAATGTTTCTTTCATGACTTTACAATGTGGATGTAAATGGTTGCTCAGTACTAAATTATATTTTACTAGAACTGGTTTGATGCTGATTGTTTGTAGAGGAGTATATACAGTCAGGAGTGCTGATTGTATATAGAGGAGTCAAGCTTGAAACCAAGTAATGAACTCGAGGAAAGGGGACCAAATTCATGCTGATTTCATTAAGATCCATGTTAAGGGAACCTTCAAACCTAGCAGAGCTGGGGTCAGGTTCAGTAACAAGTTGGCTACAGTATTATTCACTGCATCAAACGGCTTTTCTTGTTCAGCTTTTGCACTGCTTGCCCTTGATGTTACCAAGCTGTTCTGCTTCACAGTTGATCGGCTTCCCAGAATTGATCATCTGATGATTTTTATTAACTATATCAAATAGAGATTCATTCTGTATTGGTAGCATACAGTCTGCATGTTCATTAAGCTCATCCATAGCCAGAACACTGTTATATGGAGAAGTAATAACATCATTTTCACCAGAGGGATAAACTGCAGTAACAAATCTGTGTACTTTGGGGAGTTCATCCTCAAGCAAATTTAATACAAAAGTTCCAAGACCAGATCCTGTCCCAGCTCCCATAGAAGGAATTATAAAAACCCACTGTAGACACTCACAATGTTCAGTGACTGTCTCCAATGTTCACAGCGTTCAGTGACTCAGTTCAGTGTTTTACCCACCTCGTGCTGTCCCTGCTCCTTAGGGCGCGGAGGCAGCTAACGTTACAGGTCCTGGTGGAGTTCCAGTCCAAGGCAGTAAATACGCAGCAGACCGTAACCATTACAGACGATATCCACGTCGCAGGGGTCCTCCACGCAACTACCAGCAAAACTACCAGAACAGTGAGAGTGGGGAAAAGAACGAAGGAGCAGAGAACGTACCAGAAGGTCAAGCTCAGCAACGTCGTCCCTATCGCAGGCGGCGGTACCCACCTTACTATATGCGTAGGCCCTACGGGCGTCGACCACAATATTCCAACCCTCCCGTGCAGGGAGAGATAGTGGAGGTAACGTCTGCTTCAAATGTGCTGCTCAGCAGGCTCAGTTCCTTTGGAGCAGGGTGATGGGACGAAGCTTTTTATAGATATTGGGGATGTTTTGGGTATGGTTTGGTGGTGAGGTGAAATGTCGGAGTGGATGGTGATAATGTTACAGCTTTTTAAAAACCAGAATATGTTCAAATTGGTGTTAACTCCGGTGTGAGTAACTGGGAGAAACACCAATGCTGATGGTGGGTACTCGCAGGGTGTGCCCTGGGAGCGCTGCCAGGGCACCTTGTTGTACACCTCAGGCAGCCCCTGCACACCCACCTTCCCGGCTTGATGAGTCGTGGCGTTAATATTACGGCTTTTGCACGTGGCTACGGTGGTTTGTTACCTAATATCTTCCAGGGTGCTGACAGCCAGGGTGCAGGAGACCAAGGCAGACCAGTCAGGCAGAACATGTATCGAGGTTACAGACCACGATTTCGCAGGTATGCTGCAGATCAACTCTCTTTTTTCCCTTCCTTTTTCCCTTCCTTTTTCC